CTGTATATATATACTGTATATATTTGTACTGTTTACTCTGTCACATTGTAATCTATTGAACTTAATGCATTTATCCATTATTTATGTGTCTGCAGACGTCTCTGAAAACAGAGCTGGCTGAAACTTATGGGCCCTGTTTATAGAAAACAGAATGATTAGAGAGTTTAAAAAAAACAAAGTTTATAAAATGTTTGACTTTCATACCTACTCAGTCCAAAAAGACAGGATGTCAAATGTTTTATGATGGTCTTAAACAGTGTGCTGGGGTGATTCTTCCACGAGACGTGGTTCCTGCAACACAAATAAAAACAGAAAAAGGCACACAATCATTTGCCATGTATTGTTTAAAAAAACATTGAAAGCAATACACTAAATATTCATATTAAAAATACTTGCAATATGGTTTTGTTTGTTGTAGAATGCAAACAATTTATAAAATAATATATATTTCTGTGATGAAAAAAATAAAGGTATATTTCACACCAATTCTGATTATGCTTTTTCACAGTAAAAAAGGTGTTTTGTGTTGTTATTCTTATTGCTGTGGTGTGATCAGTCCTTAGCTTGTGAAGTGCTGCCATCTAGTGAGAGAAAAACTAAAAAATTGTAGCCTTATTTAATCTGCATATACAAGGACAAACAAAACAATGTTTTTATGAAGTTGAACTTTAAGTAACTCTTCCAAACTTTCTTTAAAATAATAACAAAATATTTATTAATTTTCTATATGCATTGTTGTTTTTCAGTTAAACACACCTACTTTATTCATCTCTCTACAAATTTATCAGTTTATCAATCCAAAGATAAATCTAGGTCTAATCTATCTATTGTTATTTCATGCCACAAAATAAATTTTATTTTCTCTCAATTTCACGTACTTATTTTTCCTGAAGTAAAGTTCAGAAACATTATGGTAAAAATGTGAAATGAGGTACGTTGGATTTATCATTCAGAAACATTAGTATCCTAATTCAAAGCTATCTCTGCATTGTCAAAAGCAATACCCATTAATTTGCTGAAAATTATTATATCTATCAATGTAAAAGCCAAATTATAGATAGAAAAGATTAAATTTGACAGTTATTTGTATGGAATTTATAAGAAAAACTGCAGAAAAGGCAATCTTTTAATTAAATACCATTAGTTTGAGTTTTAGCAAATGCAATTCTGCAGAAAGAAAGAAATCCTCACATCTACTAAAAGCTCCTTGTTGGTACTCACTCATGAAAAACACCAGTCTTCATGTTTTGGTTATTTTAACAAATCACTCACATTCTTTCTCAGTTTCCAGCTTTGCTTTGACTTCTTGTCAAACTGAACATGGTAAACGGTGATATGCTTTTGAAGCTGCCATGCAAGCAGCACAAATCAATGTTGCAGAACCCGCATCCCTGATGCATCACAACTAAAACTGTCCAAATGTCTCAAAAGGTTTTGCAGCAAGTGCACTGCAAATATTAAGGATAAAGCAAAAAATAAAATGACTGCAGCAGCACTTACCTGTCCACCTGACAGTGACTAAAGGTACTCTGCACCTGGATGTCCTCCTGCTGCTCACACCTCTCTAGTTTCCTCTGCTCAGTCTGCAGGGGCTTGATGCAGGCAGAGCGCACCCTTATAAGCAGCACCTATCGCTGCAGCACTGCCATGGGACCCCGGGCCAATGGGAGGGAAAACATGTGCAAAGGACCATCTGCAATGGAAAAACAAATCCCGTAAAAGATTTGGTGGATTTTGCTGCTCTGGAGTACGGTGTCCAGATGCCCCAAGTCTTAGTAACAGATGCTTTCTCTCTTCTACACACTTGGCTAACCTGCATGTTTTTCTCTTTTTCTCGATGGCCTTGAATCCAACAGCCCAGATGCACTTCTGCACCTACACAAGCAGTGATTTTCTCCAGTGTTTCCACCTTTTTCCCATCCTACAACATGGATCTAACTTTGCCATTTCAGTGAACTGAATATACGTTGGTTTGCAGGGGGTGATCAGTACAACACAGGAAGCTTTTATATTAACAGGCATTGTCCAGGTTTCAGGAAAAAAAAACAGCATTATTTGGAGCTCTCTTCCTTTAACTGAATGTCCCGACTAAAACATGAGCTCTGGCTTACCTTACCTTTAATCCATTTGGTGGTGTAAGCCCTCTATGAGCTTTAGAAGTGGACATCTGTAACTTTTATTTCTGTCCCTTTCACCTTTCTTCTGCACGTTTCATTGAGAGAATAGGAACGTTTTGCCTTGGTTTCTGTTACAAACACATTAACTGATTAATGAGGGGAAAAGACTGAAGGTGATTAAACTATTTTACAGACTTTTATTCTAATTTTGCAGCCCCGCTCCACTCTTTGGAATAAACCTTTTATGTTACATTTCAGAGTCTACATTTCTTTCAGAAATACTGTATAGCAGATCATATATATGATTTGACAAATTGACATATTTCAAGTTGTAGTATCTGTCAAGATGAAGAAGAAACATGACTGATTTACTTAAGAATATATCATCCACATGTCAGCTTTAAACAAAACCCATCTGTCTAAAAATGTTTATAAATCTGTTGAACAAAGCTTCTCTCTACACTGAGATAGTTTTTTGTTTCAGGGTACCTCTTTGAATTATCAGAATGATCCAATAAGAGCAGTAATGCAATCCACACTTGTGCTCACAGGATTTGATTCCTCACCTTTAATCTCGCCCATTGATAATCTGCAGTGAAGCTGGTGTTAGATTCTCCCTGCAGTGCAGTGAAACATATGGCTCCAGCATCTGCGAGGTGATTTACAGCCAAGAATTCTCCGCTTGGCACCGGCGGCAGCAGATATTATTAGGACTAAAGCCCACAACTCTCATTGACAAAATCTGATTTAACCACTGGCCGTATGCTGCCAATGGACTGCAGCCTCGGCTCGGGTCACCAACTGTTCAGGCTTTGACTCAGCTTTCATTAGAAAAGAAAACCAACTTGTTTTTATACTTTGTGAAATAGACACTGACATTTCTGATCTGATGAGTTGAGGTTCAATTAGACACACACACACACAAAAAAAAAAAAACAATTTAACAAAACAAACATTTCTGCTGTTTTGAATAAGTGATATTTCAACCCATTCTCACTCCCGACTCGTCACATATTGACGTTTTTCAAAGGTCCCTTTGCGTCCAATTTTGACGCATCAGGTACCCCCCTTGCGTCATATTTTGACGGGATGGGGCGGAATCTGTTGTCGTAATTTTTCAAAGTGTAGAAAATGCACAAATACTACCGTCCCAAAGCGTGAAATTACGTGTATTCACTTTAGACATCCTATCCCTGACCCCAGTCCCTAAACTTAACCATTTATCC